GAACACACTCACACACACACACACACAAAGACGACCTCTCGACAATACGCGTTTTGCTAGTTATAGCAACGCTATAGCGCTGCACAGCAAAACGGGTAAAAATGCGTGCTCACACCGGCTGTTGAGACCGGTGGTCTCAAGATATTGTTGGATCGGCTGCAAATTCTGTGAGTTTCGTTTACAACGACTGTTCAACAAGATTGATGGTTAAATACGAAAAAGGCAAAGAAGCAAAATATGCGGAAACTGTTGACGAGGAAGAGATGGGTCAAAGAGTTGAAGGCCAAGAAAACTACTGGGACAAGGAACCGGATATTCCCGTTCACGCTTCCGTATTCGTTATCTCCCAGCCGTTCTCTGCCATCAACCCCACACTGCTCCCGGATTCGTTCGCGGATGCGCAAGACATTTTCGATGAATTCGAATTCCACATCGAGTGTGAAGTAAACGGCAGTGATTTACCGCCATTGAAATATTTCGAAATCGGATGCGCTGGATAGCGCTACTCGAAATGGCGTACGATGATGTGAAGGAAGAGTTGACGTGGTCGAAAGTGGATGACGAAAAGTTGGATCGCGAAAAGTTCTCAGTCTGATTCATAAAGCTGGGATCGCTCACTCGCTTCGTCCCTTCTTGTGGCTTCGCTTTTGCGATGCAACAAAAAGAAAGCTGCTTTTTCCCTATATGAGCCAGTTGACCTTTGTCTCTCTTGTCTTGTGCTGAGCTTTTTCCTCCTTTTTATGCGTTTTTTGCAGCAATGCAATGCGAAAAACGCATATTGACGAGAGGTTGTCTGTGTGTTCGTGTGTCTGTGTGCCTGTGTGTGCGTCTGTCACGCACTTTCATCTCCGGACCTATAAAAGCTGCGATGTGTCTGTGTGTGCGTCTGTCACGCACTTTCATCTCCGGACCTATAAAAGCTGCGGGGTTGAAAGTCTGTGTGTCTGTGTGCCTGTGCGTCTGTGTGTCTGTGTGTGCGTCTGTCACGCACTTTCATCTCAGGACCTATAAACGTCTGTGTGTCTGAGCATATGTGTGTATGTGTGTGCGTCTGTCACGCATTTTCATTTCAGGACCTATGCTGCGGGGCTGAAATTTCGGGAACTTAATCTGCATGCACGTACCGCCCTAATCCCCAAAATGGGCGCCAAAACCCGCGTGGTACACGCGTTCGGGCCCCCCAAGGTTTTTTTGGGGTCAGCTCATAGCTCGAGGATCTGAGAAGCTAGAAGGCTGAAATCTTGGGGTAATGTTCCCCGCCCAAGCGGCTGTTAGTGGGATCAAACCCAGCACCCGGGTAGGCGTAGTACCCCCGCACGAATCCCCCAAAATTTTTCCCGCGTAAATTCATAACTCGGGTTCTGAGATACTAGAAAGCTGAGATTTTGGGGGAATGATCTCTGTCCAAGCAGGTGCTAACGGGCTCAAGTCCATTCCCCGGGTAAGCGTGTTACCCGCGTACGGACCCCCCAAAATTTCTCCCGCGTAAACTCATAACTCGGGGTTCTGAGATGCTAGAAAGCTGGAACCTTAGGGTAATGTTCCCCCGCCCAAGTG